TTTTTTCTTCGGTATTTTCGGAAAGTTGTCTTTTTGTTTTTTTTCTCTGTATTCACGCAAGTTAGCACTTTTTTATATTGGGGGCACTTCTTTAGTGTTAAAAGACTTCAATGCCCCTAAAGTGATGAAACCAACACAAAAAGTAACTCAACCAAAACCTGATACAAACCCATGGTTAACTTCTTTTATCTTCCTCTTTATGAACGCCTACAAACGACGGTGATGGCCGATTCCGAAGCAGTTGTCGGAGAATTCAGAGGTAAGAACTTGACCAAATTCGATGAGAAATGGATAACAGCGAAATTGACCAAATTTGGAATCTGKAAAAATCGATTCGAGCTTATCGAAAGAGAGTAAGATTTTATTGCCAATCAAACCATAGAATTTGATATGGGATCTGGGAAAACACAGAAGCTTGGAATATGATCCTTTTTTATTAATTTAGACAAGATTGGAGAAATTTGTTTTCTTATCGGGATGGTTCTCGTCTAATTTTACGGTATTCCTGTGGACAATACAAAATGGTCAGAGAAATATACTTTACTGGGGTAAACATGATCAAGTATCAATTTAATTAAAGAGATCCAATTTTTTTGTTTTACAATATTAAGCAGTTTTATGTGGACGGGATTATCGTGTACATACGATTTGTAACCATAAAACACTAACAACCATTTGGATTGTCCATTATGTATAAGATTAAAACAGTTAATAAGCTAGACATTTCTTTGTCCATAAGCTCTATTACGCTAATTAAATTTTATCCACTCGATCTCCTAGTTAGGCAGTACCCACGAGATGCGGATAAGTTTTGGTGGACAGCCCTTGCGTAACGACGTATGTATGGTTTTGATTGACAGCCCGGTAATGACATACATATGGTTACGTACCAATGTGCATGCCGTATTGGAAAACTTAAACGAGAAAGAGAATCGTCTACATGAACTTATCCCAATATCCACTACTAATGAGTTAATCTCTTATTTTTGTGACCATGATGATCTGTCTACATGGACTTATCCCAGAAGATGATTTTAATGGATAAGAGTGTGGATATATATCTTGACCACGTGGAGTTGTCCATTACCTAAACTCTAAACTCCATTGAACTATTATTTTGTTAATAGCTTATTTTGATCTTTAACAAATTGCAACGTCTCTATTTTTACCACACAAAACACAACTAATTAGACAATTAATTACAGAAGGCACAAGTATAGCGAGTGTCACTTATATCTGAAAAATCTTGTCTTAGAGTTTCGACTTGCTCCATTTGTAGAAAAATTTGATCAGCCACTGTCTTCTTCTACCTTCTCCTCACGCTTTTTGTAGCATTTGACTTGACTTTAAAGTCTCCATTGACTTCTTCTCCATATCTTAACACAACAATTTGAAACTCATCTCTCTGCCACAAAATCAATAAGAACAAAATGAAACTAACACAAAGAAATTCACTTAAACATTTTATCGAACACATCCTTTTAAAACATCTGAATCTTAAGATATTAACTTTAAAAAGACAATTTCTCATTTCTAGTCATCATACTACCATCTAATCTAAAACAAAATTATTTTATGAAAATCCACATGAAATTAAACCTACCAATTACAAAGATGGATATGTTAGTGATAGAGACGACATTGGTGTTTCACTGTGGGTTCTTCTACTGACGCCGGTGATAGCCCCTCTGCGTCCACAGTAAACCACCGCAGCTACCCTCGCCGAAAATCATTTTTTTTATTGTCTTGTTCACGTGTTCTCACTCTGTTTTCTTCGAGTTGTCCACAACAGATCTGGGGCTTCTCTCTCTCTCTCTTTGGTCATGGCGTTAACAGCTTCTCCACCTTCGTCGAGCATAGCTTCGCTGTTACAGGAATACCCAAGCTTTCCCGTTTCATTCGCATAGAAAATTCTGGAGATTCAAAGAAAAGTGAAGATTTTAGAGCTCAATGGTAGATCGGAGTTTTTGAATCTC